CCCCCCCCTCCCCCCCCCCCCCCCCCCCCCCCCATCCAAGCTGATACTAAGGCCTATGTCAATTTCACCTCTGCAACATCTCTTGAATATGGTCTCCTTCTCTTCTCTGACACTGCCACCACCCTGTTGTCCTCATCACCTCACACCTGGATTGCTGTAATAGTCTGCTGGTGGGTCTGCCTGCCTCAGATTTTTCTCTATTCTAGTATATCCTCCATTCAGCCACTCATGTGATTTTCCTAAAGTGGAGGTCCAGTAATGCCACCCACCCCCATACTCTTCTTGACTTCATGACTTCTTATTGCCTCTAGGATCAAATGCACAATACTCTGCCATTCAAAGCCCATCATAATCTAAGCCCCCTCCTGCCTCCTTCTTTCCAATCTTCTTACACCTTCCTTCCCAAACAGTACTCTTTGATTTAGTGCCACTAGTCTCCTAGTTTTTCCATGAACAAGACACTTCATCTCTCAGCTCTGGGCATTTTCTCTGACTGTCCCCCATGCCTGGAATGCTCTCCCTCCTCCACTGCAACTACTGACTTCCCTGGCTTAAGTGCCAACTAAATTCCACCTAAAATTCCATCTTCTATAGAAAGCTTTTCCCAACCCCTCTTAATTCCAGTGCCTTCCCTCTATTAATTATTTCCTGTATGTTGCTTGTTTTGTATTTATTTGCTTGCATGTTGTCTCCCCCATTAGACTGTAAGTGCGTTGAAGGCAGCGACTGGCTTTGGTCTCTTTTTGTATCCCCATCGCTTAGCACAGTGTCTGGCACATAGGTGGGGCTTAATAAATGTTTATTCATTTACTGACCACACCACAACATGTGCCCATCCTTTATTACTCAATTCATCCTCCCTCCTGTAGCCTTCTCTAATTATCCACAGCACCATTCTTATGACACTTCTCTTGTACTGTAAATATGTTCACACCTCATTCTGCCACTCCCCCCTCCCACCCTCCACCAGTAATAAGACTGTAAGCTTCCCGAGGGCAAGGATCCTCTACTTTCTAAGTGTATACACTGTATGGTCTCTTTCATAACCAGACCTAGACGATCAACGACCATTTGCAGAATGAGGGGAAGAAGAAGGCGGGGTGTATGCAAGTCCCAGCGGGGAGGACCACAGACTTGGCGGGGTGGGGTAGGGGACGGTCTGGGAGGAAAGTTGGCTTCATGAGTAAATGGGGCTCAGGAAGAAACTGATGACGGGAAGTTCAAAGTGGTGAGGCTCGAGGAAGCTCTGAAGGAAAACCAGAAATTGAGGGGCCAGCTCTGGCTTAGCGTGCATGGGGGCTAGGAGTCGGGGGTCTTAGGGTCCCGGGGCATGGGCGAAGTGAGGGGTCGCTGCCTGCAGGAAAACCCGGCGGGAAGGGTCTAGGCCCCTTACCTTTCTCATTGCGAACTGGGACGGCCCCAGCCGTGGAATGAATGGGGGGCTGCTTCATGAGGGCGCTCGGGACCGACATGATGGCAATAGCGGTTGCGGCTGCTGCAGTCCCCTAACCTGAGACGCCGAACAGTCAACACAAACGACGTAAAACGACCTCCCTTCTCTTCCGGACGTAGTAACGAATCCGCGAGGAGTGAGGAACCGGAAGTACACAGCAGAGCGCCCTAACGGTGAATTGTGGGATCGTGGATGACTTCGGGACGGCCCGGGGAGGCGGGTCGCGCAGGCTGTTAGTACGCAGGCGCCAGGTTGCCTGACTCCCGGGTTGCGTTGGTGCCTGCGTCTGCGGGCGGGAAATTCGCTTTTTCCCGAGTGCCCTCGCTCTTTTCCCTCGTGAGTTCGGACGAGGGGAGCGGAAATCTCAGGTGGGACTTTGGGTGTTGGAAAGGAATACGTCAGTGAGGAGTGGGAGGTGGTTTCTTGTTGGTTCTTGCGTAGTGGAAGGGGAAGGCGTCGGCCGTAACCGTGAGTAGATGGCTGGGTTGTGAGCCCCAGCTCTGCCACCAGCTTTCGAGGTCATACGATCCAGAGTTGGAAAGGACTTTAAAGATGGTTTCAGGCTTAAGGAGTAGTCTTTAGCTGGTAGTTGAGGGTCTCTGTGGAAGGTGTATGTGAGTAGTGCCCTGGTAGTTCCTGGATTTAGCTGGTTTGAATGTTGTACAACTTTTAAGGTTCCTTGATTGACTGTCATAACTTTTTACTTTCATTTAATATTTTGTTTGATTTTTATTTATCCAGCCCCTTTACCATGAGAGTCAAGGCTATGTACAACCTAGCCTCTTTCTATCCTTTCCAACTTTACCTCCTTACTCCTCAGTGTAAATCTTTACATTCCTACCAGGAGGTCCCCAAATGTTTAGGAATAGGTAGGCCCCAGGTTATGATTTGAGTAAGACAGGAGCCCCAGATGCCTCCTCCTTTTCTGGCTGGTCATCCTGGAGACTATTGTATTTCTTTTGTCTGTTTGCATTGCAGTCTATTGGCCGGTACTTATTGAGCATCTGTTGTTGGGGGGCACTGAAAGTGAATGCAAAGAAGTGAAGGAAAATCTAGCTTTCTGGAGCTTAAAAGAAGGTATCAGTTAGAACAAAGTAAATAACAATGCAGGTAGTACTCAATTTTTGAATGGATTGTGTTGTTTGGAATAAATGACTTAGCTATTGACAAAGGTTATTTAGGTTCCCCGAGAGTTGGAGGTGAGCAGCAGTGGCCTTGGAGTGGCAGTAGGGGCAATTTAAAAATCGGAGGTTGGATTAATAACCAAATCCAAACCTTCTTCCTCAAATGTAAAGGCAGTTGACAACAGATTTTGATTTCTTTGTTGATGTCCGATAGCTGACTTTGTGGTTCCTGAAGGTTTTTAACCATGTATATAAACTCCTTTTTAGGCCCAAACAAACCAGTAAATAAAACTACCTACTGGCCTGTTGTTTGTTTTAGGAAAGTGGGAAAAAAGGATGTTTTTCCCGTTTCAGAAATTGCTGTCAGCTGCACTTCAAAATTAGGGCTAATCGGAAGGTAGACATGACATTAGGGAGAAATGAGTGATAAAGGAAATGGTGGGAGTCATGGTTGTAAGATTTTAGATTTAGAGCTAGAAGGTACCTTAGAGGTCATCAGTCCAGCTCCCTTATTTTACAGGTGAGAAACAGGTGGGCGTGTTAATGGATCTGAAATTTCTTTGTCTTTTTTAATATAGCAATAGTTATAAATTATGAATGAAATCAGAGAGGTTGAGTAACTTGTCCATGGTCAAACTTTTAAAAGTTTTTTTTTTTAAATACCTAATGCCTTTTTCCATAACATTTAAAGCTCTCTTCAGACTCTTGAATATCTGGCCTGTGGTTCCAGCTCTATAGAAATTGCTATTTTAAAGGTGACTAATGATGTGTTTTTAAAAAGTTGAAAAAAAAAATTGTAATTCTAACCTTTAACAAAACACCATGGAATTATACTTTACGGTATAAAATTATAATAAAGTCATAAACAATGTAACATATTTCATTTTATTTTGAAATTAACAAACTAAATAAAATGAGTGTTTTCATATACATTCTGAAACAGGAGAGGATTGTACATGAAACTATGAATCTCTGTTATCTAGAACTTACTTTTTATCCCCCTGAAGTATTTAACATATTAAACACGTAACTTTGAAAGCTGCCCTTCTTGTTTGTGATTCCTTTTAGCCTTCCTCTTATTTGCAGAAGGGACCTTATATCTATTCCTCCACTTTACTTTATAATATACATTTTAATGAAGTAGAAATCAAACAAATTAATAAAAGATGATTGCTCTCTTTCCCTTTAATGGATTTGAAACTTCTTTGCCTTTTTAAAATATAGCAGTAATTATAATTTGTGAATGAAATGAGCAAAACCCAAACAGCATTTACATTATGTCTGTATTTCTTGTATTCCAAATATTTATCATTTTCTGGCATCATAATATTCTGTTATGTGAATATATCACAATGCAATCAGCCATTTTCCAATTGTTGAGAGTAGAGGTTTGTTTCCAGTTTTTTTGCTCTTACAAATAAAGTAGCTATGAATGTTTTTGTATTTTGGTGGGGTGGAAAGATTAAGATTGTAGTCAGGTAAGAACTGGTTCAGTTCCAGATTCTGATACTTGCTGTGCCTTTGTCACTTAATCTTTCTGAGCCTCAGTTTCCTCATTTGCAAAATGGAAATAAACTATGTGGTTCTAACCTTTTTTTTTTAAAGGATTAAAATGAGAAACTTAAAGCACAACGTAAATGTCAGTTGCTATCATTTTTTCCCTTGATATCTTTAGGATGAAGTTATAGCAGGAATGTAGAAGAAAGAACCTGATGAATTTTGTGGCTTTTATGTCTATTGTCATATAGCTTTTTAAACAGTTTGTACCTGTTACCATCCCGCAATGTAAAGGGTACCTCTTTACCTGCAGCCCTGCTACCATATTGAATTTAAAAAAGGTTTTATTTATGTGTTTTATTTTTTTAAACCACTAAAATTTTCTTCAGGATCTCCCCCTTTCCTCTCATACAAGAAATAATATTTTTTAGACAAAAAAGGGGAAAAAATCAGCAAAACCAATCAGTTCATTGAAAAAATCTAAAAATATGTGTAATGGTACTGTACTAGTGGACCTTCTACCTCTGCAAAAGGGTATCTTAAGTCTCTTAGGTCTTCTTTGGAACCATGCTTGTTATTTGTAATTTTGGAAGATTCAGTTTTGAATTTTTTGGTGGTACTTCCTGTTTACATTGTTGTAGTTATTGTCTATTATTTTATTGACTCTGCTTACTTCTCTTTACATTAGTTCATATAGATCTTTCCATGTTTCTCTGCAGTTATTGTGATTGTTATTACTTACTGTACAGTAATGTTGCATTATTCATGTACCACAGTTTGTTTAGCTATTCTCCAATTGATGAGTATCTGCTTTGTTTTCAATTCTTTGCTTTCACAAGAAGTGATATAAACGTTTTTAGTGTAATATAGGAACTTTCTTCTTATCATTGGCCTCTTTGGGGTATAAGCCTCGAACTGGAATCTCTGGGTCAGAAGGTATAGACATTTTAGTCATTTTATTTGCGTAATTCCAAATGCTTTCCAAAATTAGGCATTAGTATTTCTTTCTTCTCCGAACTCCAACGTTGACTATTCCTATCTTTTGTCATCTTTCCCAGTTTGTGAGCTGTGAGGTGTGAGGTGAATGAAACTCCAGGGTTGTTTTGATTTGCATTTCTTTTGTTATTCATGATTTGAATAATTCTTTCTTGTAGTTCTTAGTACATTGCAATTTTTTTGAGGTCTGTTTGTACATATCCTTTGACCATTTATCTGTTGGAAATTGCTTTGGGTCATATACATGTTAATTGTTTACTAATCTTGTGTGCCAAATCCTTATCAGAAAAACTTGATACCAAGATTTTTTCCCATATCACTACTTTCCTCCCTATCCTAGGTGCATTCATTTTGTTTGTGTAGAAGTCTTTTAGTTTCATGTAAACAAAATTGTCCGTTTTAGCTTTTGTAATTGCCTCTGTCTCTTTTCTGGTTAAAAATACATTTCCTACCCATATCTGGGAGAGGTATATAATTTGCTTCTCTTCTAATTTTTTTGGCATAATCTTTGATATTAAGGATATATATTGATTTAGAATGTAATGTGGAATAGAGTGTAAAGTGTTGATCTGAGACTAATTTTTGCTAGTCTGCTTTCTAGTTTTCTCAGCAATTTTTATCATGTAGGGAGCTTTTTGCTAAGTAACTTATGTTTTCTGGTTTGTCAGACACTGAGTTATTGAATTCTACAGTGTCATACTGAATTTTTATCTTTTTTTTTTTTTGCTGTTTCAAGCAATATAATAAATATAATGGTTGTAAGGAATGTGGCTTTTTAGCTGGAAGAGAACTTCCTCATTTTATAAATGAGAAACCTGAAGCTTAGAGGGGAAGTGAATTGTCCAAGGGCACACAGGTAGCATTTTCAAGTTTTTTGATTTTTCCATTTTTTATCATTAGGCATTTTCAGCATCTTTGCAGGTAGTTCTTAACCTGGATTTTCTTCAAAAATTGTTTATGACATTTGGCCTTTCCTCATTGGGGAACATGAATTAGTTTTTATAGCTGTGTTTCAGTTCCTTATATATTCTGGAAGACAAATCATTACAAATCTGTTTTCCCCACTCTTTCCTTCTTATTTTAGACATTTTATAATTTCTTGTGAAAAATCTTTTTGTTCTTGTATAAGCAAACCCACTGAACTTTGTCTACCAATTTCTTCCCCTTTTTTGGCTAAAAAAAGTTTTTCCTTTCCATTATTGGGACAAATATTTCTTTTCCTTGCAGTTTTTATGATTTATAAGAATACTTAGATCACATTTTCTAATTGCTAAGTCTAATAGACTTTTCAAAGCTTTTATCTTCTCATTAGAAATGAAAACTGATGACTACCACCTTGTGGATACCACACTTTCTTGGTTTTTCTACTTCTTTCACTGTCTCTTTATCCTCTTTGTGATATTGATGAGGTTTAGGGGTACTGGGACCCCAGAATCACAACACACAGGTCCTGCCCAAAAGAATTCGACCCAAGCCTTCTTTTAGCCAAAGACAAGGTTTATTAGAACATCTGTCATATCAGGTAGACTCTTAAGGAGTATGAACATCTGTGAGCTATTGGCTAGATTTTAAGAGTCTAAGCACCTTAAATGGAGACAAGATGGACCTTATATACAGAAAGACTGTGGGAGGAGTCTAGGAGTGGCCAAGTAGTTTGGGGTAACTGGAGGAGGGGTTTAAGGAAGATCTGAATGGGAGTGGCCAGTAAACTGGGGTGAACAGAACACCTGGGACCTGGACCACGTGGCCAAGGGAGAATGGAACCTTGCTAGGAGTAAGGGTGGGAAATGGCCTGGGGCCATAGGGAGGTAAAACAGTGGAGGCCTAGTCTAGATTGAGGGTAATTGGGAGATTGAATGGAACCACAGTGAAAGGCCAGTTGATGGGATTATAGCCTCAGGCAAATGCCAGAGATTTGGCCGTGTGGGAAAATCCAGGGTTTTTCCTTTTTGGGGTCTAGCTCCCATCCCCAACAGCATTGCCCATTTTTATATTTTTGGCCTTCTCCTCTATACTATTTCCCTGGGCAATTTGATTAATCCCCACCACCTCAGCTTCCATTTACCGAAATAACTCACCTGACCTCTCTTTTATGTCCAGATCCCTATCTCCTGTCTACAGAATCTCTGCCTAATTTTCCAGTGGCACTTGAAACTTAATATATCTAACCCTGAGCTATTACCAAAAGTTATTTACTATAAACATTTTAAAAAGCCAATTAGTCTTTTATTTTGCCCTGGTCAGACCAAATATGGACTATTACTGGTGGTTTTGGGGCCCAAAACACACATTATACTGCACAAAATTGTACATAATTTCAGGGAGGACATTGATAAGCTGATGAATGTTTAGTGGAGGTAGACCAGGATGGTGAAGGGGCTTGAATTCATGTTATATGAAGGCCTGTTGAAGAAATTGCTGATGGGTGTTTCACCTGGAATGGAGTTGTTTAGGGAGAACACAATAGCTATCTTTAAGTATTTAAAGGACAGTCAGTGATGGGATTTAGGGGTGCTGGGACCCCAAAATCACAACATGCGGGTCCTGCCGGAAAGAATTCGACTGAAGTCTTCTTTCAACCAAAGACAAGGTTTATTAGAACATCCATCATATTGGGCAGATTCTTAAGGAGTCTGAACATGAGAGTGAACAGTGGCTAGATTTTAGGAGTCTGAGCAGTGGCTAGATTTTAAGAATCTAAGCAGTGGGCCAGTAAACTGGGGTGAACAGCACTCCTGGGACCTGGACCGCGTGGCCAAGGGAGAAAGGTGCCTAGCTAGGATTAAGGGTGGGAAAAGGCCTGGGGCCACAGGGAGGTAAGACAATGGAGGGGAGATTGGGTGTAGCCACAATGAAAGGCCAGTTGATGGGATTATAGCCTCAGGCCAAGAGATTTGGCCTTGTGGGAAGGTCCAGGGTTTTTCCTTTCTGGGGCCCAGATCCCAACTCTATCAATAGTGCTTCAAAGTTCTTTTGAGTTCTTATGGCTAACCAGGCTTTTTTGAGTGAAGTTTGTCACGGTCATTTTCATAATTCTAAATAATTTTTAAAAGAAAAAAATAGTCTTGTTCTTCACCTAGGAGGGCAGAAATAGGAGTAATGAGTAGACATTGCAGAGGCAAATTTAGCCTGGTTGTTTAGTTAGAGCTATCCAGCAGGGTAATGGGCCACGTCAGAAGATTGTGAGTTCTCTCCAAGTGGAGACTTTCAGGCTGAGGCTGATTGGCCATTTGTTGGTTATGTTGAAGAAGGAATTATTTTTTAGGTGTCAGTTGGACTAGGTGGACACTGAGGTCCCTTTTAATTCTGAGAATCTGCAGTTCTTCGAAAAGGTTTTCAAAACACAACAATCCAATGACCTCTCCCATTTGGAGGATAAGTAAACAAAGGTCCAGTGAGATTGCTCAAGACCACAAAGGCATGAAGTATACAAGCCAAGCTTCTAATGCAGCTTTCCAGTCCTGGGTCAGAGATCTTTCCAGCATATACACAGCAGCTAGAGCCTCTGAAACTCCCTGCTCAGGCAGGAAAGGCAGGGTTTGCTCCCTAGCAGAGGCTGGAGCTCGGGCTGAGCCTCCCCAGATGACCCATGCCCCCACGAGCCCTAGTGGCGCTGGGCCTGGAGTCAGGCTGATTCCGCTGTCCTCAGACATTTACTGTCTGTATGGCCCTGGACAAGTCACTTAACCCTGTTGCCCTCAGTTCCTCATCCACAAAATGAGATGGAGAAGGCAATGGCAAACCGCTCGAAAGTCTCTGCCAAGAAAACCCCAAATGGTATTACGAAGAGTAGGAAAATGACGCAACTACCACAATCTGTAGTTGTGGGCTCTGGGCCCCGCCCCGCCCCGCTCCTCCCCTCCCGGTTCCGGGTCCGCCCTTCGCTGACCACCCCTCGCCCCAAGCACCGGCTTCCTCAGTCCCCGCCTAGCGGGGCTCGTCCCGTCTTCTCTTGGCGCGCGCGCTTGGCGGGAAGGCAGCTGGAGCTGGGAGAGGATGGCGGGGTCCCGGGCGTCTCTCCAGGTGTGGGGTTTTGAGGTTGAGAGCAAGTCGGGAGCTGGACTGCAGAAGCCCGAGAAGGGGAGGGTGGGGATCGGGGAGAGTGAGACCCCGGCTTTGCTCCTATAGCTGGGCGGGATCTCCTTGGGCTTGGCTGATGGTCCCTGAGCCTTCGGCTTGTGACATTAAGCCTTTTTTGAGAGGAGGAAATGAGGCCCCAAGGGTTAAGGAGAGACTTGTCCAGGCTTGCAGCTAGCTATGTTAACTGACCTCCTGCACTCGGGACTCTTCTGCTGATATTAAATGAAATGTGGTTGCTAATTTCATGCTTTCTTTAAGTTACACGGGACCTGTTCAGAAACTGGTGACGTACAGAGTATTAGGGGCATAGTATGGGAGAAAGGGGGCTGTGAGAGAGACAGCTGTGGTGAGGTCTTGTTAAATGCAGTCTTTTGCATACTCAGACTTTAGGAAATGCCCCATCAGATACTGAGTTATTACATAGCTCAAGCCAGGGACTTTGTGAGGAAGATCAGATTCTAACACTTTGTATTTCTTATTGAACTAAACAGGTGAATGAATCTAAAGTCCCCGAGAGCATAATTGGCCTATCTCTGACACCACAACACAGAATAATTTTACAGAAGCAAGCTCGAGTACTTCTTTTTCCACTTGTTGTCAAAAAGAACAAACAGGGCCAAATGATGAGCCCTCAGAATCTATCAGAAAATAATTCTAACGATGAAGAGAAGCCTAAAATAAAAAGGAAACACAGAGAACTTGAAACTCCAGAAAAAGAAGCTGTATTTCCCAAAGAAGAATACAGTCTACAAAAATCAGCTTTGGGTTCTCAGACACAACCAAGTGTTGTGATACCCAAGAATACTAAAGATGTGTTGTCTCTCAGTAATGAAATGCAAAACAATCAGGATGGAGGTGGTGACGAAAATGAAACAGCTGATTTGGTAAGTGTCTTAGTTTAAGAATTATCTTGATGGTTTTACGAATTAACTTATATAATGAAAATACTATCTTTTGCTTTTAAATTTTGAGATTTTGGTGAATTTAATAAGCTGGAAGCATTAAAAGTGCGGAAGCACTGGATTTTGGGTTCAAATTTAAACAACGCTGTGTGGCCTTGGGCAAGATACTTCATCTTTAGTCCTCAGTGTCCTTGTTTGTAAAATGAGGCAGTTGGACTGCATGATCTCTTAAGACTCCTTTCTAGCTCTAAATCCTGTGACCCAGGTACTCAGAGAAGAGAGCTAAGCCATCTATTTTAGTTAAGGTTTACTGATAATTTTTTCAAATACCTCATTGTCTTGAAATGGCTTTTAATTTTTTATATGGTACAGTGAAAGGGATACTTCTGTTGCAAGTCAGTCACTAGCTATGTGATCTTGGGCAAGTCAGTTTAACCACTCTTGATCTCAGTTTGTTCAGCTGTTAAGGGAGGTGCTGGGCTATATGATCTTTGAAGTTCTTTAATTCTCTACTTATAATATTGACATTTTTTTCATTTTATATTTGTAGCATATCATTTGAAGAATCAAAATTCTGTTAAATGTGTCTTGAACTTCCCTATTATATGTTTGTAATGTGCTCTAGGAGTCACCATCCTCTAATAGAAAGCATGAAGGAGAAAAAGAATTGTTACTAATTGTACTGATGCTATGCTTAAAACATCTGTTTAACACAGCTGGCATTTTCCAAGATTTTCAAAGAGTTTTACTTATATTCTCATTTGGTCCTCACAAAAACTCTGTGAGGTAGATACTGCAGGTAGTGTTATCATTTATATTTTACAGATGAAGAAACTAGGGCTCTGGGAAATTTAAATAATTTGCTCAAGCATGGTCATACAACTAATGGACACCAGAGGCACAATTTGAACCCAGGTCTCTCCTAACTCCAAGGCTGCTACTTTTCCCAATATACCACAGTGCCTCAAAAAACATTGTGTGCATACTATGTGCCAGGCTTGTGCTTGTGAAAATATAAAAATAGAGCTAGAATTTTCCTTTGAAAAACTTGGATCCTGGTAGTGAAGAGAAGATTATGTAGGGCAAAAATAAATATCAACCCTTATTGCTGATACTATGGACAATGTTCTCCTGTTCTCACTTCACTTTGTATCAGTTCTTATAAGTCTTCTCAGGTTTTTCTGAAACCTTCATTTTAAAAAATTTTTTTAAATTTTATTAAATTTTTCCCAATTACATGTAAAATTTTTTCAGCATTTTTTTTTTTTTTGCATTTTGAGTTCCAAACTCTCTCCCACCCATCCCTGCTACCTCCTTGAGAAGGTAAGCAATTCAATATCTATTATATATGTGACATCATGCGAAACATGTTTCTGTATTAGCCATGTTGTAAAAGAAAACTCACACATTCACACACACAAATAGAGTAAGGAGTTTACAGCTTAATAGAAAGGATGTGAGCTATGTATACACATTAATACAACTTAGAAAAACATATAAGAAAGGTCAAACAGGTATGAAATACTGGTTTGGAAAGGATCTCTTCTATTTAGAGATATGAGGGAGGCCATCATGGATGAGGTAATAATATGTGATCTAGACTATACACACATACGTGTGTGTGTGTGTGTGTGTGTGTGTGTGTGTGTGTGTGTGTTGTGTTGTGTTCCTGGATAAAGTGTAAGCTCATTGACTTTCCTTCTTTGTCTTTGTGTACTCAGTACTAGCACAGTGCCTGGCACTTAGTAGGTGCTTAATAAATGCTTGTTAATTGACTGATGATGGTTCTTAGTAATATGTGGTATTTCTTTAAACAAATGATATTTTAACAAGAGCTAACCTAACGTTTTCCCCCTTTGTCTTTTATTGCCTTCACTTAAAGTTGTAAATGCATCTGCTCAGCCTCTGAACAAGTAAAGGCAACAAGTGTTTGTAAATTTCATTTTTGTTAATAGTTTTCAAGGACACTTCACAGTGTTTTGGAAATCCACAGAAACATTTACAGACTTAGGATGTTATAAAACATTTCATGGAATTGCCCAGACTGGGATATGACAACATCTTGAGAGGTTGGCAGTTTCCTTGCATACAGCATTGAATGAATGGGAGGTGACCTTCAAAAGGAGGCTTGGGGTGACCTACGTGGAATTAAGTCGCTGTCTTTGTGAGGTGCTGTTGTTTTGAACTGTACTTATAAGTTATTTTTTTTTTCCATAGGATGACTCAACAGAGTTATCAGCTTATGAGAAGAAGAGGCTAAAAAATATATCAGAAAATGCTGAATTTTTTGCTTCACTTCATTTGGTAGAGGTTTGTATAGATTCTCAATTTAACTGGAAAATACACAAATTCTGTCCTATTTCGAAATGACTCCTGAGTTAATCTAGTTTTATGTCATCCGTTAAACAGTCAGAAATGAGGATAAAATATACCAAGAAAAGTAGGGTTTGGGGTTAATGGGAAGAAACGGTCTTCTAGTCAGGATGTCTTCTTTCTTTCTTTTTTTTTTTTTTGCTAGGCAATGGGGTTAAATGACTTGCTCAGGGTCACACAGCTAGTAAGCGTTATGTGTCTGAGACCAGATTTGAACTCAGGTCCTCCTGAATCCAGGGTCGGTGCTCTATCCACTGCGCCACCTAACTTCGCCCCCCAGGATGTCTTCTTAGCATAGGGAGGAGGACCTGTGGGAAGGGTGTATGTTCAAATTTGAGTTGTTACATCTGCTGTTCTACTGTCGGGTCTTTAGATTGCCTTATTTTGGATAAGGTGGGGGATGTTCCTTAGGGACATCAAATGTAGTTTAGTCAAATATTCTTAAGCCCCGGGGTAGAGCATTCTCTCCAGATTGCTAATCTTAAAGCCCTTCTGCTTTCCTTCCTACCTCTTCTTGGGAAGAGATTCATTATTATATATTAAAACTACATCATTATACCTCACTTCTGGATCCTCCCTGCCTCATAGAGTGAGGGGTGCGCTTTGGCTTTCTAGGGGGCATGTCATTGCCCTTAGTGGACATACATGCTAAGGTCATTGATTTTAACTCTTTGACAAAGACATTTCTTTTTCCTTAGTAAGGTTCTCTGGGTAACTAATCCAGAGTGATCTCTCTCCTTTAGCCAATCCTTTGGGAGTTTAAGTTTGGTGGTGGGAACCTTTGGCTTCTCTACATTCTCTATTTTGATCTGAATTGTGGGGTTTTTTGTTTTTGTTTTTTTCATTTATACTTTGTTCACTGTAGACCCTCCAGTCAGTTAAATTCCTAGGCTGAATATACCAAGAAGGAATGTGTTCTAGAATAGAACATGTTTTGTGGCAATGTTTCATGAAACTGATGTCAATGTTAAGTGTAATCTGGAGTGTGAATTTTAGGGAATTTATTGATTTCTTTAAATGACAGTTTCCTTTAAATACAGCTTCCAGTTGTATTTAAATGTTTGATTAGAAATGATTAACTACTTGGGACGTGAGGTATGTATGAATAGCTTGAGAGATAGAAAATTGAAGCTAAATTGATAGCTATTGCAACTTGAAGATCAGAAAACAGATTTGAAGATGCAGGTCAGATAAAGCATTTCTATGGAAGCTATACTTTTAATGTGTTAAATCAGAGGAAGATATGACTAGATTTATGAAAGCTTAATTAACAGAACTTTGCAGCAAAATATATCTTCTTTAGACTCAAAAGTTATTGAATCTAATAAGTGGTAGATATTATGCCAGCCTTGTAGTGTCCATTACCAGAAAATAAGTGCTGTTGACAAAACAAGGCAGAATTGATAACATCATAATCATTAAGGTACATGTTATATCTCTTTGAGTACTACTCCTTGAGAACAATACCATGACATAAACACTCTTTATTTCTTGTTGCCACTAATTGTCTTGTAATCTGTTAGGCACTTAATAAATGTTAGTTGAATGGAAAAAAGGAATCAGGCATTTGTTAAATACCTACTGTGTGCCAGGCACTGTGCTAAGCACTTCACAAATATCTCATTTAACCCTCACAACAACCCTGGGAGGTACGTGCTGTCATTAACCCCATTTTAGATTTAAGGAAACTAAGGCAGACAGAGATTAAGTGACTTGCCCTCTGTCACACAGGTAAAAACTGAAGCTGGATTTGAATTGTAGCCACTATTCAGATCACTTTAACTCTATCAGATTCTTCATTTGTAAAATAGGGATAATTCCACTACTGACCTCACAAAGTTATTGTGAGAAAAGCACTTTATAAGCTATCTCTATCAGAAAAGTGTTATTGAAAAATGTGTTTATGGTAAAGCATATTATGGTAATGTTTTTACATATGTATTTTGGATATTTTGCAGACAGCTGCAAGGTTACGTGAAATGATAACTAAAAGACCATCTCGTGGAATCAAGAGGTAAAGTAATATTTAGGTCTGTGATTCTTAGTCTGGGATATTGTAGAATATGTAGTCAAAAGACTTGAGAAAGTAGCATCAGACAGACTTGAACTGACTTGAGGGACTTGGAGGGACCCTGGAGGAAAGTCATCCTTGGAGAGGCTGTGTATAACAGTGGAAAGAACTCTTGATTTGGAATCAGGCCCTGGTTTCGAACCCTGTCACTGTCAAGCTATTATCCCCTCACACGTGTGCTACTGCAGTAATCTAATTGGTTTTTCTACCTGCAGTCTTTGCTTTCTCCATTCTGTCTACACAGTTGCCAAATAGACAATTCCTAAAGCAAAGTCTGACCTTGTCAGTCCCCTAATCAAAAAATTTTAGTGGCTCCCTGTTGCTTCTGGGATAAAAAACAAGCTCCTTTATTTGGCATTTAAAAGCCCTTTACAATCTGGGTCCAGTCTAGGAGGCAAGTATGGTACTGTGGAAAGAGCTTTGGATTTGAAGTCAAAACACCTGGGTTTTAATCTTGCCTCTGCCATTTAATACCTGTGTGATTTTGATCGAGTCTCTTTGGGCCTCATTTTCCTTCTCTGTAAACTGAGAGAGTTGGACTGGATGACACTAAGATTCCTTCCAGCTCTTTATCTATGATCCTGTTGTCCAAACTCCCACTCACCTATTCTCTGTTGTAACCAAACTAACTTACTTCCTGTTCCCTGAACTTGGCACTCTTATCTTCAACTCTGAGTTTTGGCACCAACTGTCACCCAGGCCTGGAATGTTCTCGGTCCTTACCTCTGTCTCTTAGAATTCTTTCGTTCCTCCCTCCCCAATTACTTTGTATAAACTTATTTGTAGTTTCCCTCCAGTAGTATATAAGCTGCTAGTCTAGAGTCTATGTTCATTTTTGTCTGAGTATTCCTAGCATAGTGCTTGGCTGCTAAAATGTTTCTGAATTGAAAGGAGCTTACCTTTTACAGAGGAGATACAGCATGCAAACAGGTAAGGGGTCCTCATTGTCTGAGGATACATGATGTATTATACATTGTCCAAAGATAATTGATAATGGAAAAAGGTAAGGATTTAAAGTAGATATGTTAAAATGGGAACCAACATTTCATAGTAAATAAGTAGAAAAAAAGTTCGATTGGTACTTGATCTTGAAAAATGAAATTAAAATTATAAAAATAAGATTTTTATTTTGTGTTTAATAAAATTTAGGTGACAACTGCAAGTATTCATTAATTTTCACATTAAAGGATGAATGAAGTATTGACTTTTTTGGTATTATAATTTTCCCAACAAAATTGTATGATAGCATGATGGAATGTCCTTTACTTTATCTTTGACTTTAGCATTGAGATAATAGGAGTATCATTGTTGCAAAAATAATCAATGGCTTCATCAATGTTCTCAGGGCCTTTCTTACTCTTTTTTATTAAAATAAATTTCTCCCTCAATCCTTCCCCAACCTCCTTCTAGTTTCAGCAAACTCTTAATCTTTGCATATTTGCATCATTCTCTTGGAATATTTTTAGTTAACCAAAAAGGTATTGACCCTTGGCCTGGTGGTTGGGATTGAATGTTAAAGGGGAGGGGAATCTTTGAGGGGGGACAAATTTTATAAGTGGTTTTTTTATAATGAAACTTGTTATCGCCAGTTTCAGTGTGAGAAAGACTTGGGGGTTAATTCTGGTCTCTGATGCATACTGTCAAGTCACTTATTTTCTCAGTGATCGAAATGCAGTGGTAGAAGGAGTTTCATCACTGGAAATTCCTTATATCCTTAGAGTTCAAAGTCAAGATGAAATAGCTATAAGAATTTAGTTAATAAATAATTGGATAGTAAATATTTGGGTATGGTAGCATAAGGGGAAAGAGAGCACTAACAACTAAAGGATCTAAGAAGTCTTCCTATAATACATAACACCTCAGCTGAAGCCTAACTGAATCTAGAGGTTCTAAGAGGTGGTGGTGAGGAAGGAGTTCATTCTAGGCTTGGAGACCAACAAAGGCTGGGAGCTTAGACACAGAGTTGGAGAAGAACAAGTAGACCAGTTTGCAGGGAACATAAGAGTACACAAAGGGGTGTTTTATATGATGAACCTGAAAAAAAAAAGGTAGATTTGAACTAGTTTGTGTGATTCTCATTGTTCAGCTGAGGAGTTTGAGTTTTATCCTAGAGGCAAGAGAGAGCTACTCAGTATTCTTGGATAGGGGAGTATTCCCGGTTAGACTTGTTAGCGTGATTATTTTGGGAGTTGTGTGGAGGATGGATTGGAGAGGATAGAGAGTGGAAGTCTAGAGTCTAGTTAGGAGGTTCTTGGTATAGTCTGTGAGAGTACATTTCACATGGAGCTAAACTATGATGGTGACTGTTTGGATAGAGGGAGCTGGTAGGAGAGGTGTTTGGAGGTAAAATCAGTAAGGTTTGGGAACTAATTGTGTTTAGGAGTTCAGTGAGAGGGAAGAGTTGATCACTTCCAAATTCTGACTTGGCTTACTGGGAAGGATAGTGCAGCAGAATAGTGCCTTTGCGCTGGCTGGCTGGCTGTCCCTTGTTCCTTTACCTGTACCTCTTAGTTTCCCTGACTTGCTTCAAAACTGTATTCTAATTCTGCCTTCCTCTGGAGGACTCCTACCAATAGTGCTTTTCCTTCTGTCTAGTCTACTTCGTATATCTCTTGTATATATCTAGAGATTTACCTGTTGCCTCACCTGTCAGTTCAATACCTGGTGCATACACAGTAAGACCTTAATAAATTGCTGGTTCAGTTTCCTGGGATGGTGTTCATCTGGTGTTCATCTAAATTCATTTCGGGAAGCTAGTACTTGCTTACTATCTAATTGCTTGGCTTGGCTATCAATTTCTGAGTAGCCCTTTTTGGTTTGTCCTTTCTTGTCTAATCATTCTCATTTGCAGAAAAAAGCAAAAACAAAATAAAGAATTGAACAACTGTCTACTCTCTGTTGTTGATTATCTTTGTCCCATCCACTTAGCAGTGGGTTTTTTTTCCTTTGAGCTTTCTCTTTTTTCTAGTATAGCTTAAAAAAAAAAAGGAAACCCATTTTTTATGTCCTTAACTTTTTTTCCCTAGCTTTAGTTCATTCTGAGCTTTAGCACATTTGACATTCTTACAGGTCTTTTCCATGTTTTTATATTTATCTAGTTACCTGCTTTTGCTTCTAGCTGCTGTACTTTTTTTCTTTTTTTAAATCTAGTATGATAGGTTCCCTGTGCATCTGTATTGGGAGGAGGAGAAGAAAAGAGAGTAAGTGCTTTATATATAGTACCTACTCCTGCTACATGCCAGGCACTGGCTGGCTGCCCCTCATGCCTAGAATACTAAGTGAATACCTTCACCTCTGTCCCTTCCTTTTCTTAAGCACTTTACAATATCTCATTTGATCCTAACAACAACCCTGTAAGGTTGGTGCTATTATCCCCATTTTATAGTTGAGGAAACTGTGGCAAACAGAGATCAAGTGATTTGCCCAGAGTCACACAGCTAGTAAGTGTCAGAAGCTGGATTTGAGCTCAGGTATTCCTGACTCCAGTGTTCTGTCTGTTGTGCCACCTAGCTGTTTTAGAGAAGTCCTCTTTTTACTTTTCATTGGAATTAATTCTCTTTGTGTGCTTAGAATTTCATTCTTGAGAGCTTCGTGTTCCTCTTAAGCTGATTTGCCCTGTAGAATTTTAGTCCATGGGATCCTATTAGTTCTTTTTCTGAACATTTTGAAATCCTCTACAAATCTTAGGGTGTATATCAGACACTGCCCAGTTCTCCTGTCATTTATCACAAATTCTAAGGTGAAGTGGTCACTTCTTTGTAAGGTTCCTTTCATTTCCACCCCAGGTGTACTTATTTGGCACAAAGGAAAATTCCTTTCTTTTAACCTCATCTAATTAGCTCTAAACAACTATTGTGCATTGGACTCATTGGGACCAGGTGACAGAATGTGGATGAATCAGCTGCATCTATACTATTAGAAAAACAAAAGCACTGTTCTATGGACAGCTACTCTGTAGCATTACTTTTTGTATGAGGAGAATAACATAGTTTTCGTTAGAGGCTGATCTTGTTGATTTCTTTACAGTACCAACAAATAGAGTCTGTCAATTTATTTCTGAACTAATGTAGACTGTAGTTATGGTTGCAGTCATGGAAATTAAATTCAAAGGTGTTACAGTTGATTGCCATGCCTTCTTTCATACTGGTAATAGTAACGTTATTAACCTATGCTCTAAGTTAACACAGACTTTTAATTCCTTTAGAAAGAAGCTAAAGAAGGCAGAAGATGAGATTGTTTGTCGAAGATCCATGAGGTTATTAAAAGTAGATCCATCAGGAGTCCCATTACCAGATCCTTCACCACAGCCTGAATCAGTAGTTGATCAATATGTAAGAGTGACAGTACAAATAGAATACACTAACAACAAGAAGAACCTTAAAATTCCTTAGGATTTTGAAACTGTAGTAAAATATCATTAATTCAGAATTAACTAATTGTGGTTTAGAATTAGAATTTGTGTTAGATGGGATTGGATCTGTACTGAAGTTGGCTTTTGTAGGCTCATGTAGGAAATGAATTATGTCATTTGTTTAATTGTGTGTAAGAGGAATGTCCATCTGTTCAAGAGGGTATACTTTTTTAAGCTTTATAAAAATACTCAAGTTGAATGAACACAAAGTAAAAACTAGTGTTGATTAGTTGAGTGTATTTACTAGGTAATACTGGATTAGTTGTGTTCCATTTACTTATGTATTGAAAGCAATACAAACACATTTTACCCTAGTATTCAAGAATGAAGACTTCACAAATTCAGGGAGCTCATGTGTAAAGCACTTAGCATAGTGTCCAGCACAGAGTAGGTGCTGCATAAATGCTTATTTCCTTCCTTCCCTTTCTCCTAACAGAGTTGCTTTTTAAAGCTAGTTAATAGTAGCATGGTGTTGAATTTAAATAGATAAATGGTGGCACATACCTGTAATCTCTTGCCACTGGGGAGAATGAGGTTGTTGGGTTGCTTGAATTCAGTTGTTCAGAGATGCAGCTGCATTAGGGCTAAGGCCAATTGGATATCTGTACTAAGTCTGACCCCAAAGTAGTGAGTAGGTGGGTGGGGGACACCATATTGCCTAGGGAGGAGTGAACCAGCCTGAGTTGGAATCTGAGGAGGTCAAAGCTTCTATTCTGATAAACAGAGGGATTGGGCCTATTAGTGTGGCTGCTATGCTTTCAGCCTGAGTGAGGTAGGGAAACATAGTATCCAAAGGAAAAAAATAAGAAAGAAAATAAACAGGGAAAAAAAACATAGATAGGGAAGTTGATATTATCAATTCCAGCTGCCCTTGAGAACCCAAAATTATTTCTTAACTAGGACTGTCAGAAAATGTCTTGAATCACAAAGTTGATTTTTCCTGAACTATCTGTAATGCTGGCAGTAATCCAAGATTATAGACTAAGCTGATTGGCAAGGAGAGAGACAAGAAAGGACAAGGGAATTAAAGAGAGGATGAAGTAGAAGTGAAGGGTAAAGAGGAACACAGAGAAAGGGAAAGAAAATTGAAGAGAAAGGGTATAGGAGGGGGAGGGAAAAGAAAATCTTTTGCTTTGATCCATCTATTTATATTAAAATAGGGTAGAGTAACTCTTGCTGCCTTGTTTTTCCTTGCAATACCAGTGTATAACTTTAAAAACATTTTTCCCAATTACATGTAAAATTTTTTAATATCCATTTTTAAATTTATTGAATTCCAAATTCTCTCCTTCCCCTCCCCCTTTATTTGTATAACTTTTAAAAAAGTAGTATCATATAGAATGGATAAACTATATATGCTTTGTCTCTTACTGGAATGGTAAGCATTTGCCTGTAGAAAGAAAGCTAAAGGTTGTTCATAATAAGGTGGTAGTGATGTTTCCTCTCACACTTGTCTTTTTAATGTCATAGACTTTTTTCTGCCCTTATCTTTTAGACCATATTCCTAAATTGGGAAGGAATTATATTGTAAGAGAACAACTTTGGCGGGTTTCAGGATGATAAGATATTGTACTCTTGCAGTATAACTATTGAAGGTGTTTTATTTTTATTTTGGGGTATTCCATACTTTTCTCTCTGATATAATAAATTGGCACAACTTTTTCACAAAGGCAGTTAACTGGTTTTTGAATTAGTTACATGATATGAAGGAGCTCTCCAAGGGACTAGGACTATGGGGAAACTTAAGTTAATGGTTTCTATTTAGTTTCACTACACAACATTATAAGTTTTAAATGTTTTGTAAGCACTTGATAAGTATTGATTGATTTGATTTTCCAGATGTTCATACAGCTTATGTGGTTAAGCACTTTACTCTTAGGAAGTAACTTATATGTTCTGTGTTGCCAGTGAATTTGATTCCTTCACTTTCTGGAGCATTCAATAAGAGATAAGCTTCATCAAGATCATGGACTAAGGATTGTAAACAAAGGGATATGTAATAGTGAACATTGTATAAAATATTTTAAAGCCTCAAAGAAAAACTTGTTTCTGTTTTTTTCTAACAGATTCGCTTACCTCCTGGCCCTTTGGAAATGATACCTGAAAATCAAACTGGCGAAAATGAAATGTTTAAAGGAGTTTTACAGATGTGGATGAAAATAAGCCAGGTATCATTTTCAGAACTTTTAACTATTGTGGTTTTAGTATATTAAAGAGAATGTTGGAATAAATGCATTATCTTATTGCTCTGATTTCTCTCTAATATTGCAGCCAAGAAATAAGAGTACTAAGAAGTTATCTAGTATGAAAAGGTAAATTTTAACAAAGTTTTTTGTTTTAAATAGAAGTATTTTGAAATTTTAAATGAATTTCTCTTTTCAGATACCAGGCAGGTTTGACTGGCATGGTCATTAGCGAAGATACTATCTGCAAAGTTACCAGAAGCAGAATATGCTCTATGGCTATTCATCCATCAGAAACTAGGACATTGGTGGCAGCTGGGGACAAGGTTGGCCAAGTTGGACTATGGGATTTGGTAAACTATTTCTATTTTCTATTTGAAAATGAGAAAGTAGAATCAGAAAGTAGAAAAGAAAATGCCCTAGACCTATGTGTTATAAATATTAAAATTTGTAATTGCATCTTATGATTGCAAGTTGCATTATTCAGATCTCAAAGCTTAAATTCCTTTTACTGAGCCTCACTGTTATTTTGATACTTTGATGAAGTATACAGAGCAGTGGATTTGAGATCAGAGGACTTGGGTGGAAAACCAGCATGACCATTTGCTGCCTGTGCTACATTGGGCAAATCATTTCAACTCTCTGGGCCCCAGTGTTCTTATAAAATGAGTGGATTGGACTAGATGAATGAACTATAAGGTCCCCTTCCAGTTTTAAGTCTCTGGTCCTATAACCTGGAACATCATTGGTGTATTAGATAGCAGCAGTATACAAAATAATTGATTAAGTGATTCTGAAGTTATTCTGAAAATAGAAATGATAACATTTGTAAACAGGTGTGGCTCAATTTTTCTCAGAATATGGTATGATATAAGTTGTGTACTGGAGTAATTTTTTTTTTTACTTAAGTCAAGGAACATTTATTAAGGGCCTACTATGTAGAAGGCGCTGTTATGCTAAGCACTGAGGATAAGAAAAAAAGGCAAAAACAATCCCTGCCTTCGGGGAGCTCACAATCTAATAGGGAGAGACAACATGCAGGTAACTGCATAAACAAGATATATGTGGGATAAATTGAAAATAATTACAGAGGGAAAGCACTAACATTAAATAGGACTAGGAAAGATTTCTTGCAGAAAGTGGAATTTTAGCTGAGACTTCAGGAAAGCCAAGTGGTACATTTTCTTTTTTAAAGGGAAAAAATAAAGAGGCCATTTTTTTTCCTCTGCCTTGGAATGAGAATTCTAATCGCCTTCCTCCAACCCTGCATCTGCAACTGCCTCCTGGACATTTTCACTCACTTGGATGACAATTTCATAGTCATATCAAACTCAGCTAGACTCATCATCTCTCCACCCCAAATGAGCTGCTTTTTCCAATTTCATTGTTTTATGCTCCTCGTTACCCAGGGTTGAAATCCTTCAGTCAGTTGGACTTCTTTATTTCAGGTCCTCTTATTTTCAGTATCCACTCTAAGTCTTTTTGATTCTTCCTTTAAAAGAGTCTCTTTGGTTCTTTTCTTAGTTCAGTTTCTTTTGACATCATACCTGGAATATTGTGGCAGTCTCTAAAATGTGGTGGCTTTTTTACTACCACTGTCTCCCTGCTTCAGTTTATCTTATACACAACTGCCAAAATAATCTGCATAGAAGGTCTTACCATGTCAGCTCCTGCCCAAGAATCCTTAGGAGCTCCCTGTCTTCTCTGGGACAAAATAGAAACTTCTCAGGTTGGCATTGGAAGCCCTTCACAGTCTGGCTCCAGACCCTACCAGGTTTATTGCACACTGTTCCTTGTCACTCTTTGTCCCAAGGGAAACTAGCCTCCTTGATATTTCCTGGGCCCAGCATTTTGTCTCTTAACTGTGTTTGTACATTCTCCACGCCTGAAACACTCGCCCTGCTGACCTTCATGTCTTAGAATCTTACTTTCCTCCAAGGTGCTGCACTTGGTGATCCCTCCAGCACAGTTGTCCCTTTCTTTGGGAACCCTTTGCTGATCTCCTCCCCAGTATTAGGGCTCTCTCCATCCTTAAATTGTCTTGTACATAGATTAATAAATAAATAAATACATGTTGTATCCTCAAAATAGAATGTAAATGCTTTGAAGGCAGGGACTGTTTTTCATTTCATCTGGTTTGTCCCATACCTACCATGGTGTCCTGTGCTGCTTAATAAGTGCTTGTTTGAGTGAGTGCTTTTGCCAGATAATCCCTCAAAAACATTGCTTTCTTTATGTTTTCATTTTTTGTTTCAAAAGCTACAGTGGGGGTAGGTAGGTGGCTCTTTGGATACAGCACCGTCCTGAAGTCAGGAGGACCTGAGTTCAAATCCGGCCTCAGACACTTGACACTTCCTACCTGTGTGACCCTGGGCAAGTCACTTAACCCCATTGCCTAGCCCCGCCCCCACCCTCCCGCAAAAAATAAATAAAAAATAAAACGCTGCAGTGATGCTTTACTGCTCATTTTTGTGAAAGAAAATTTTTATTGATCTTTAACATCACTCTCAATATGTCTTCCCTCTTTCTCCTCCCCCCTCCCTCTTACCTCCTCCAGAGAAGGGATAAATAACAGGTAATAATATATTTAAAGGAAAAAAAGAGATAGTGACACTGATACATTGAAAAAGTCTGAAAATACATGCAATGAACCACCCCTGTGGACCTCCCACCTCTGCAAAGGAGTGGGATTGGGGTGTCTTCTCATATTTCTCTGAAGTCATGCTTGGCACAACATTCACTCACCTTTGATTGTTTAGTGGTCATTCTTTCCATTTGCATTGTTGTAGTCATTGTACATTGTTTTCTTGGCTCTGCTTATTTAATTCTGCATTAGATCATGTAAGTCTTCTGTGTTCATTTATATTGCTTTTCTTACAGCACAGTAATATTGCATTAGATTCTTATACCACCATTTAACCATTCCTCAGTCGATGGGCATCTACTTTGTTCTCAATTATTTGCTACTAGAAAAAGAACTACTTTAAACATGTTGGTGTTTTGGAATGTTTTCTTCTAATCCGTGACCTGCTTGAGATATAAACATAGTAGTGGGATCTTTGGGTCAAAGGGTGTGGTCATTTTAGTCACTTTATTCGCCACTCCTCCAGTAATGCACTAGTGTGTCTGTCTTTCCAAACCCTTCCAACATTGATTGTTTCCCTATTTTTTCATCTTTGCCAGTTTATTCTAGACTCTTTAGTTGGACATTCATGCTTCATTTTTAAGTAGTTCCACCTTATTTAATCAACTTTTTTTTTCTTTTAGAATGACCCCATTGTTTCAGTTGACTGTTCTTGTTATTCTCCCCCCCCATGCCATGACTGTTACTGCCTCTGTGTCTTTATGAGGTGCTCTTTGCTTGTAGTGCTTATTCTTTTCAGCTCTCCTTCACTTCCAAATCCTACAGTTCCTTCAAGGACCAGCTCAAGATCCATTTCCAGCTCGAGTTTTCTCTGTTTTCCTGAAGCCTTCTGAAACGAACCAAAGCCCAAATTCTTGGAATTTGTTAGCACCTCTATACTATGTGGATCTGTAAGCCACTAATTTATGTTTACTTGTTTGTTTATTTACTTGGTTTCTTCTCTAATTATTCTACCTCTCAACCTATATGATAAGAACAGAAGGGAACGAACATTTATTAAACGGCTGTTGTGTACGTGCTAGTTACTGCGCTAAGTGTTTTACTAATGTTTTCTCATTTGAGCTTTATAACAGGCCTGGGAGGGAAGTGCTACTAGGGAGTCAGAGGTTAAGTGTCTTGCCCAGGGTCATACAGCTGCTCAGTGTCTGAGGTCGGATTTGAGCTTGGGTTTTCTGGCCTTTAGGCCTGTGCTCTGTCTGCTGTGCCCCCTCGATGGAGGGCAGGGGCTGTATCTTCTGGTTCTATTGAATCACTTAGCACAACGTAGAGGATAGAACAGGTGGAGTAATGACATCAGGGAGAGAGAATAGCTTAAGGATGAAGATGATGTTTTAAAATTTTGCAGGTGATAAATGTGAAGATTAGAGATAAGAGCACAATAAACAGAATGAGTGTCTGGAAGTGATGGTTGTCTTATGTTATCCTCATGAAATAAGAGCACACACAGCTGGTGGTCAGTGGGATGAGGAGCAATCTGGAATGGTCCTTGAGCTCACATCTGGCTTCCTCACTTTAGGTACAAAAAGGTATAAAAAAGTAAAGACAATAGTTGGTCCAAGGCCACCTGTTTATTGCAAAGCTGGAATGAAAAACTGTGTTTCTTTTTTGTATTTCCCATGTAATTGTAACCTTTGTGTCAAAGATTTGTGGCTGACATAAAGATCCTGGGTTACTTTATAGGAGCATGTAACACTTCGCTTGAAGCTCTCCCCACCTGAGAAAAGATCTGCCTCCAGTAGGAGGTCGGTGTCTGGCCACATAGTATCAGAAAGAAAGGAAAATCAACAAATATTTATTAATTGTGCTCTCTAAGGTCACTTCCAGCTCTAAATTCTGTGACATTGTATACAGACTATTGCAACAAGCAGATTACAGCAATCTAAAGTTCTTAGAAGTTTCGTGATGAGTATTTATTTCCAGCTATAATGTACAGGGCCTAGTTGAAGAATCTTTTCACAATGGGGTCCTGCTTTAGGGGGTAATCCAATTATTTCTTTTCTTATACCCTCATCTTAAAAGGCACAACATATTTTATTCATTCTTTTCCCATTGTTACCACTTCCCAGTGACTCTGCCCTTCCCTCCCAATAGAACCTGCCCTTAATGATAAAGTACAATTAAGTAAAACAACTAAGCAAACACACTGACCACATCTGGCAGTGTACCCCTCATTCAGTACTTATGGTCCATTGGCTCTCTCATGAGAGGTAGAAGGCATGTTTTGCTGTTAGTCTTCTGAAGTCATAATTGATCATGGCATTGATGAAAGTTCTGATGTCTTTAAGTGCTTTTCTGCTTTGTATCATTGTGGTCATTGAGTAATTTGTTCTCTTGGTTTTGCTTCATTCTGTACAAGTTTCTTTCAATACAATAGTATTCATACAAGTTTCCTCAAGTTTCTTTCATTACATTACATACCAATTTTTTTTTTTTAGCCATTCTCTAATTGATGGATACCTACTTTGCTACCAGTTCATTCCTACCACAAAGAGTGCTGTATATTTATGTCTGTACACATATACACATGCATGTATGGAAATTTTCCTTGTGTCTTTGTCCTTGCTAGGGTCTATGCCTAGTGGTGTTATCACTGGATCAAGGAATATTTTTAGGGACTTTGCCAGTATAATTCCAAACTATTTCCCGGGACACATCACCATTAACAGTGGATTAATGAATAAAATAGGAGGATACAAAATAAATCCACCGTAATTGCTAGTTTATCTATTTGCAGCAATAAAAAATGCATAAAATATCTAGGAGTAAATCTACCAAGACATGTTTGAGACATAAATGCTTGAGTACAAAATGCTCTTTATAGAGATAAATTAAGCCCTAAGTAATTGAAGCTGTATGCATTGCTAATGTGTGGGCTTTGCTAATATAATAAAAATGACAATATCCAATTTAATTTATAGATTTAGTGTCCTACCAGTGAAACTACCAAAGGCTTACTTTATGGAACTAGCAGAGGGGTGGAGAACCTTCGGCCTCGAGGCCACATGTGGCCCCTATAGGTCCTCAAATGCAGCCCTTTGACCGAGTCCAAGTTTTACTGAAAAAATCCTTTTATTAAGGAGATTTGTTCTGTGAAGTTTGGGTTCAGTCAAAGGACTTCACTTGAGGACCTCGAAGGCCACATGTGGCCTTGAGGCCCAGATTCCTCACCCCTGAAGACAAAATATAACAGCATTCATTTGGAGGAATAAAAGAACTAGAATCTCAAGGGAAATAATGAAAAATATTAGAAATGAAGAGTTAATAGCCTCTTTGAGACCTCAGACCGTATTATAAGGTAGTAACCATCCCAACTCTTGGGTGCTAGTTAAAGAAATGGAAAATTAGATCAGTGGAACTGACTGAATAATAATATATCAAACAATTGGAGTAAATAACTTTGCTCAGTAAACCCAAGATCATACATATCTTGGTGGAAGAACTTGGCTATTCAACAAGAATTTCTCGGCAAACTAGAGAGTTTTAAGAAAAAAATATCTGGGCCAGTACTTTATACATCTATTTGAATGGTTACTCAAATATGAAAGGATCATATCATTTCAGGATGGAGGAAAATGGATGGTGGTACCTTTAACAAGTAGGCGTATGGGGGAGAATTCCTAACCAAACAAGGAATAGAAAAATCACAACTGATGAAACAGACAATTTTGGTTATATGAAATTAAAAAGCTTTTGCATGAACAAAATTAATGCAATTAGGATAACAAGGGAAACTATTAATTGGGAATTTTTTTCATCAAATACTTCTGATAAAGTTCTGATATCCAAGCTACGTAGTGAATTAGCATACACATATCAAAGCCATTCTAGTAGATAAGTGGTCAAAGGATAGAAATAACTAAATCTCAGAAGACACATTTTATATTAACTATCCCTAACAGTAAGAGAAATGCAAATTAAAATAAGTGAGATTTCATTTCATAACCAGGAAATTGATAAGTTGACAAAAGTTGGAATTAGTCAATGATGGAAGGGCTGCAGGAAAAAAGGCACAATAACATAGTATTGTTAACTTGAACTGACCCGATGATTCTGGAAAACAATTTGGAATTAAGCTAAAAAAGCGACTAACATGTCTATGCCCTTTGACCTACAGAGCCCCTTGCTAGAAAGAAGCCCCAAGGAGATGAAACAGAAAGAAAGAGGGAAGGAGAAAGGAAGAGGAAGAGAGTATCTGTGTAAAGAACTAGAAAGTTGGGTGCTTTTAAGTTTGGAAGTGGCTGGATAAATCATGGTACATGAATATAATGGAATATTATTGTACCGCAAGAAACAATGAATATGAAGACTTCCGAAAGAAAAAAAGCCACAAAGTGATGCAAAATGAAGTGATCAAAACCAAGAGAACAGTATACACAGGGACAGTAATGATGTAAGCAGAATGAAGGATAAAATTAAATGAGATGCAATATAATTATATTGACTAATGACTTACCCCTGGAGAAAGAAGAGAATATACCTCTCTACTTTTTGGTAGAGAGGTGGGGGACTGTAGGTGTGAAATGTTGCTTGTACTTGTAGACATGATTGATGTTTTGGTTTTGCTGAACTGGAATTGGGTTTGTTTGTTTTAGATCTTGATTATTTTCCAGGGTAGTAGTGAAGACTAACATTCAGAAATGAATTTGATATAAAAACAAAAGGCATCAGTAAAACTTACTGTCTTCCCATAGCTCCTCCCAGCAGGACTTACCATTAATATCTTCTGTTATACATGATCACTTTAAGTATTTTAAGGGCTGTCATGTGGAAAAAGGATTAGACCAGTCCTATTTTGGCTCTAGAGGACCGAAATAGAAGTATAAAGTAAAAGTTGCAGAGACAGATTTTGGCCCAACGTAATGGAAATCTACCTTGCAGTTAGAGCTATACTGAAGTAGTATAGGCTGTGTTAGGAGGTAGTAGATTGCTACTGCTGAGACTAGATGGCCACTTAATGGGGATGTTGTGGGGGTATTATAGAGGGACAGATTGTAGTAGATGACTTTTAACTCAGATTGTGATTTTGTGAAATCTGCATCTAGAAACTGACTTCTTAGGAATTGATAATTTAGTTATAAATGGGACAGCATAGAGACTAATTCATGGATTTGTTGGCTATAGCAATACTAATGGAGAAATTTTGACATTGCATTTTTTTATTGTGTATTTTGGGAACAAAGTTTTTGTTATTTTTAATAGTATTGGGTCTAAGTATGTTCAGTGGATGATTTCTCTAAAAATTGTATTAGCTCCTTGCCAAAAGGGTATGGGGAACAAAGTAGAAATGAGATTGACTTGGGCAGTATTTTGTACCATGAGTGAAATGGCTAGTAGACATCTCCTTTTCTGATTGAATGAGAAACGAATGATAATCTGTTCTTGATAACTGGATTACTTTTAAAAGGCCGTACACTGGTGGGAAAAAAATGTATAAGCCTCTTAGTGTCATATTTAGTTGGATTTAAAATTGGTAAGAGTCTATTTTAAGTATAGCTTCAAATTTCCATGTTTTAGCTATTATATAGTAGAGGGAGTGTTAATATAGTAAATATTTATAATTTTCACTCTCTTTCCTCCCTTAAAAATACCTGTTTTTCAGACTCAGGAACCTAGAGAAGATGGGATTTTTACCTTTACTCTCCATAGTCGAGTAGTTAGCTGTCTGAATTTTTCACCTGCCAATCCAGCCCACTTGCTGTCACTGAGCCACGATGGGACCTTACGCTGCGGAGATTTTACTAGGGCTGTGTTTGAAGAGGTGAGTGTCAGTGTGATTCCCTGCAGACCTCAAATCATATTCCAGCTGCTTTATAGAATTATGTAAGTGGTCATTGTGCAAGCCAAATTGGGAGAAAATGACCATTTCTGGATGAGACTTTTAAAATAAAAGATGTTGCTATCCTATTTTTTTGGCCATATGACTGCCCATTATAAGGAAAGGAAAATTAACCTTTTTTCATTCTTGGCTTGGGCAGAAATTTGGTGGGGGTGGATGTAGGCATGAAATTGGGGTTTAATGTATTTCATCAAATAAAGGCACTTCCTAAATAGCCAAAACTTTTTAGCTGGCTGTCTACTAGAGTGTACAGCAACCACATTTTAAAACTTCTTTCCCATATTGTTCCATGAGGGATTAGGAACATCAGACACATCTGCTGCTAGTATGCTTTTATTCCAGTGATGTTAAGATAAAAGTAAACTGTTGGTTATGCATTCAAACTCCACCATTCATTGGGCCTTTTTGCCTTCTCACTCTAACCTTCTGAAGCTCAAGTTCTCTGTAATTTGGTCCTTGGCTAGTTTTAGCCTTGGAAGACCACACTGAGCTGAAGTCTACATATGAAAAGTTTAAGGACCCATATTTGATTTGGAACACTTTACCTTGGGTACTTATCTTCCCAGTACCACTTTGAATCATTAAACAAGGTCAGTGAAGGATCCACCCCTATCAAAAGGCTGCTGAGTCAACTGAAAGTGTTTTCTGTGATTTGATTTATGTCCATTGAGCCACATTGCCAGGTTGTGTAATTCCTCTCTCTCTTCAATACTCTTCCATTCTGTCCTTTCCCACTATTGGCCTCCTGTAGCTGCTCTGGACTTGAGATTTTCCTGGTGGTTATATAACCTAACCTGACCCTGGTACAAGAGAAATTTAGCCTCTCTTCTGCTTTTTGTCATCTTGTGGCTGCAGGTACCCTACAGTGTATGGGTTCTGGCTTTCCCCAGTGGCCAGTGATTATGTCTCCTTTCTTTCTTACCCCTTTTCATTTTTCATTGAGCAAAAGGAACAGAGGATGAGCACACGTGAGTGGGTTGGGGTTACATTATCTTTCCCTACAAACCTACCATTCTTCCGAATTTCCCTAGTTCTGTGGAAGGTACTACTATCCTTTAGCCTCCAAGATTTAAATCTGGCATTACCTACAATCTGACAAGCCTACCTTTCCCCTCATTCCATATATCCATTTACTTGCCAAATGTTGCCATTTTTCTGCCTCTGAAAAGTCTCTCATCTCAGCTCTATGCATATAGCCATTACCCCAGGTCAGGCTCTCAGCTCTGGAACTATTGCAGTAGCCCAATACTTGCTATTCTTACCTCAAGTCTCCTTGCCTTTTTTCCAATTCATCCTCCATGTAGATGCCAAAGTGAAATGTGCAGGTCTTACCCTATCACTTCCCTACTCAATAAATTTCAGTGATTCCTGATTGACTTTAGAATCAAATATTTCTTCTCTATCTCATCCTTTTTTAATTTTCTTTTTTTGTGTAAGTTTTGTAATGCACATAATTATTAGTACAATGGTAGGTATATTTATATACACTTATAAATAAATATATGTATGTTGTGGCTGTATACTCAAAAAACTTTTACTTGCTAATAGATGCACAATCAGAAAAGTTTTGTGATTGCTCATCGAATTAAAGAACTAGGATCTAGCTCTAGTTTTTGGATTAAGTCTTTTTTTTTTTTTTCCTTTTGGGCAAATTCATGTAGTTATTAAATGCCCTATTTTCTCCCTCTTTAGAAAAGAGTTCTAATTTATGGCCAATACTTCCTTTTCAGGGTTGTACGAAGATGTTATCATTATTTAAATTATTTATACTACTGGCAAATTTTTATAAATACCCAGTTTATCCATAGAACTTCTTGGAAGAAGGGCACTATAGCTATATGACAAGCAATTTATTTCTATTAAGACAAGTGTTTTTGTATTTTTAGGTATATAGAAACGAAGAAAGGGATTTTTCATTCTTTGACTTCTTGGCTGATGATGCATCTACTTTAATAGTAGGGCACTGGGATGCAGGTGTGGCTATAGTGGATAGACGGACACCAGGAACTTCATATGAGCAATTTTTCAATTCTGATATGAGCTTAATAAGAACTCTTCAGGTTCACCCAGTGAATAGACATTATTTCATAACCGCTGGTGCAAGGTAAGTTCTTCCCAACCATATTTATAAGTTAAACCTTGGATATAAGGTTTTCAGTTCAGTTATCAAAGATATTTTGTCAGAAAGGAAAATAACTTGAACTTTGTTTGTCACATGTCACATGGCATTTTTTTTTCTCATATGACTCATTTGAAGTTGTAGTATTCCTCTGGAACCCCTCTTCCATTATTAGCAGCTTCCCCTGTGTTCTAAATCTGTTTGATACAGTTTCTATCCCTGTGCACTAACAGAATCCTACCTTCTTCTAGAAGACGTTGAATCCGTAGCTACTCACTCCATTACTGGATACCCCTTATTCTGGAACCCTGTGAAAGTTAGTCCAGGAAAAGGAGTAGATATATTCTTTATTACTCACTGCCACTTCCAAATTCTGCCTTTATTGTCTTCCCTCTGCAACTCTTCCTCCTTTGGGGTTCACTCTCTGTCTCTGTCTTCCTGATTAGAGTTTTGCTGTAGTTCTGTAGTTCTCTACTGACTTTCAGGTTACTCTCACTCCTTTCTCAAGGTCAGTCAGTCAATAAGGATTTATTAAGCACCTACTGTATGCCGAGCACTGTGCTAAGCACTAAAATGCAAATAAAAAAGAAAGACAGTTCTTGCCCTACAGATCATGACTTCTCACCTTGAGTGTTTCTTAGGGTTGTCTTCATACTATTTCACATGGTGATCTCATTAATTCTCATGTATTTAATTATCATCTATGCTGATGACTCTGAAATCCACCCATCCTGTCCTTACCTCTCTATTGATCTCCAATCTCTCTCTGTTGATCTCCAGTCTCGAAATTCCACCTGCCTTTCAGACATCTCAAATTGAATGTCCAGTAGACATCTTATATTCACCGTTTCCAAAATGGAACTCACTGTCTTTCCCACTAGACCCTTCTCAACTTCTACCTTCCCTGTTATTGTCAAGGGCACCACTATCCTTCCAGTCCCTCAGGCTCACAGCCTAGAAGTGATCCTGGATTCCTCACTATCTCTACTCCGGCACCATAATCAGTTGCCAAGTCTGTTGATTTCACTTTTGTTACATTTCCTGAATATTCTCCTGCTCCCGCTCTGACACTGCCACCACTCTATTGCAGACCCTCATTGCTAGGTTTATAAAGGACTCTGAACATTAAACAGAGGATTTTGTATTTGATCCTGGAGTTGGTAGTTTAATGACTGGGGAGGGGTGAGATGGTAGGACTGGCTTTTTAGGAATATTGCTTTGGTGGCTGAATGGAAGAGGCCAACTTTGTGAGTAGAGAGAAGGAAATGGCTTCAAAGAATATTGTGGAGGTAGACTCAAGATTTAGGAATTGATTGGATGGCAGCTAGGTGGCACAGTGGATAGAGCACTGAGCTTGGAATCCAGACTCATCTTTATGAGTTCCGACACTTAACTAGCTGACCCTGGGCAAGCCACTTAACCTTGTTTACCTCAGTTCCCTCATCTATAAAATGAGCTGGAGAAGGAAATGGCAAACCACTCCAGTATCTTTGCTAAGAAAACTCCAAATGGGGTCACGAAGAGTTGGACATGACTGGAAACAACTGAACAACAGTTGATTGTATATGAGGTGTGAGAGGGAGGGAAGAGTTGAGAATGACCCTGAAGTTGCCAACTTGAGTAGCTGGAAGGATGGTGCTTCCCTTAATAGAAATGAAGAGGTTAGGAAGATGGGGGAGGGTTTTGAGGGAAAGATAATGAGCTTTATTTTAGACATTTTCAGTTGGAAATACCTAGGTGGAGTTCAGTGGGAAATGTCTAATGGCCAGTAAGTGATGCTGGAATGGAGTTGCAGAGAGAGATGAGACTCAGGCTGGATATGCAGATCTGGGAGTGGTCTGCATAGAGGTGATAGGTGAAGCAATCAGAGCTGGTATGATCACTGAGAGATGGTGTCTCAATGAGAAGAGAGAATAGGATTTAGTATAGGGCCCTGATGCCCAATTATATATGGGGATAGGGCACGAATCCATCAAAGGAGACAGATAAAGAGAAAAATTTAACTTCTTTGAAGGCATTCAGTTCCTTTTTGCATTTTCACACCTAGTGTCTGGCACTAGGTATATGTATGTACTATATGTATACAGTAGATGCTTAATAGATGTTTGTTGCTTAAGATAGAGGAGCCAGAAGAGAACAATGTCACAGAAACTTGAAAGAAAATATCTAGGAGGAGATCAATAATATCACAAGCTACAGGTAAAAAATAGATCGAGATTGAAATAGGCCAGTGGATTTGGCAATTTAGATAACATTGGAAGCTTTGGAGAGAGCATTTTTAATTGAGTCAAGTTGTGAGCCGGATTGCAAGGCACTGAGAAGTGAGTGGTGATGAGAAAGTGGAGGCAAGGAGCATAGGCAGGTTTTTCTAAGAGTTTGACTGTTAGAGAGAAAAGGCATATAGGATGGTAGCTTGAAGGGATATAGGGTCAAGTTAAAGTTCTTTAAAAATGGACATGATTATAAAAATGATTGTGAACTTTAAGGAGAGGGGATGCTCAAAGGGGCAAGAAGACAGGAGGGGAGGGATTAAGGGAAAAAGCAGGATAGTTGCATTTGTAAGAAGAAAGGATACCTCTTTCTTGGAGACTGGAGTAAAATGAGAGATAATGTATAGGACATCTGAAGAGGGAATTCCTGATGGATGACCTCAATTTTTTGTGTGTGAAAACTTTTATGTATTGTTTTCAAACTACATGTAGAAACAGTTTTTAACTTTTGTTTTTTAAAATTTGAATACCAGATTGTCTCCCTCCCTTCCTTTCCTTTTCCCTTCCTGAGATGTCAAGCAATTAGATATAGAGTATGCATGTGTATGCATGTGCAGTCATGCAAAACATATTTCTGTATTATCCATGTTGGAAAAAAAACAAAACCCAAGAAAAATAAAGTAAAAAAAAGTATGCTTTGATCTGCATTCAGACTCCATCAATTCTTTCTCTGGAGGTAGATAGTATTTTTCAACTCTTAAGTCCTTCAGAATTGTCCTGGGAACATTGTATTGCAGAGATCAGTTAAATCAGTCATAGTTGATCATTGTTGCAGTATTGCTCTTATGGTGTACAATGTTCTTGTTCTGCTTACTTCACTTTCAGTCAGTTCATGTAAGTCTTTCTGGGTTCTTTTGAAAACATCCTGCTTGTCATTTCTTATAGCACAACAGTATTCCAACACAATCACATACCACAACTTGTTTAGCCATTTCTCAATTGGGAATGGGCATCCTCTCAATTTCCAATTCGTTGCCACCACCAAAAGAGCTGCTGTAAGTATTTTTGTACAAATTAGTCCTTTTCCCTTTTCTTTAATCTCTTGGGATACAGACCTAGTAGTGGAATTGCTTGGGTCAAAGGGTATGTAGTTTTATAGTCTTTTGGGCATGGTTGCAAATTGCTCCCCAGAATGGTTGGATCAGTTTACAACTCCACCAAGAGTGCATTAGTGTTCCAATTCTTCCTTATTCTCTCCAACACTTAATTATTTTCCTTTTCTGTCGTATTAGCCAATCTGATAGCTGTGAGGGGTATCTCAGAGTTGGGTTTTTTTTTTTAAGTGAGGCAATTGGGGATAAGTGACTTGCCCAAGGTCACACAGCTAGTACGTGTCAAGTATTTGGTCTGAGGCCGAATTTGAACTCAGGTCCTCCTGACTTCAGGGCCGGTGCTGTATCCACTACGCCACCTAGCTGCCCCTCAGAGTTGTTTTAATTTGCATTTCCCTTCTCGATAGTGATTTAGAGCATTTTTGTTTTCATATGACTATAGATAGCTTTGAGTTCTGAAAACTGCCTGTTCATATCCCTTGACCATTTACTAATTGGGGAATGGCTTGTATTCTTATAAATTTGAATCAGTTCTCCATATATTTGAGAAAAGAGGCCTTAATCAGAGAAATTTAATGCAAAATTCCCCCCCTCCCAATTTTCTGCTTTCCTTCTCATTTTGGTTACATTGGTTTTGTTTGTACAAAAACTTGTTAATTCAGTGTAATCAAAATTTATCTTGTAATGTTCTCTATATTGTTTAGTCATAAATTCTTATCCTTATGTCTGATAGGTAAAATATTCCATGCTCTCCTAATTTGTTTATGACATCACCCTTTACATCAAAATCAGGTACCCATTTTGTCCTTATCTTGGTATATGTTGTGAGATATTGGCCTATGCCTAGTTTCTGCCAAACTTCTTTCCAGTTTTTCCAGCAATTTTTGTCAAATAGTGAGTTCTTGTCCCAAAAGCTTGGATCTTTGTGTTTACCAAACATTAGATTACTATGGTCTTTTTTTATTGAGTATTGTATATCTAATCTATTCCACTGATCCACCCCTCTGTTTTTTAGCCAGTACCAGATTGTTTTGATGATTATCACTTTGTAACATGTTTTGAGATCTGGTATGGCGAGGTCACCTTCCTTTACATTTTTTTTTTCATTGATTCCCTTGATAGTCTTGAATTTTTGTTCTTCCAGATGAATTTGGTTACTATTTTTCCTAGCTTTATAAACTAGTTCTTTTTGGTAGTTTGGTATGGCACTGAATAAGTAAATTAATTTAGTTAGAATTATCATTTTTATTATATTGGCTTGGCCTCCCTGTGAGCAATTAGTATTTTTCTGGTTGTTTAGATCTGGCTTTATTTGTGGGAAATGTGTTTTATAATTGTATTTGTATAGTTACTGGGTTTGTCTTAGCAGTTAGTATCCCAGGTTTTTTTATATTATCTACAATTTTTTTCTTTTCAATTAATTAATTTATTTTTAGTTTTAAACAATCACTTCCAAAAGCTTCTGAGTTTTAAATTTTCTCCCCCTCCCTCTCTGCCTCCTTCCTCAAGACAGCGTGAAATCTGATATAAGCTCTATATGTACGTTTCTATTAAACATCTTTTCACATTAGTCATGTTGTAAAGAAAAATTAGAATCCATAAAAGGAACCACAAGAAAGAAGAAACAAAAGAGAAAAAAAAAAGAGCAAATAGTATGCTTTGATCTGCATTCAAACTCCATAGTTTTTTCTCTGGCTGTGGATAGCATTTTCCATCAAAATCAGTCATCGTACATTGTGGCTGTTACTGTCTACAATGTTCTCCTGGTTCTGCTCACTTCACTCAGCATCTATCTACAGTTATTTTTAAGTGGAATTTCTCTTTCTGTCTCTTGCTGCTGAACTTTGTTGGTAATATATAGAAATGTTGATGATTTATGTGGGTTTATTTTATGTCCTGCAACTTTGCTGAAGTTGTTAATTATTTCAGCCAGTTTTTTAGTTGATTCTCTAGGCTTCTTTAAGTAGACCATCATACCATCTGCAAAGAGTGATAGTTTTGTTTGCTCATTTCCTGTTCTAATTCCTTCAATTTCTTTTTCTTCTCTTATTGCCGTGGCTAGTGTTTTTAGTACAATATTAAAGAATAGTGGTGATAATTGGTATCCTTGTTTTGTGTGTGTCTTATTGGGAAAGCTTCTGGCTTATGCCCATTGCAGATAATGCTTGCTGATAGTTTTAGATACTACTTATCATTTTAAGGAAAGCTCCATTTTATTCCTATGCTTCTCAGTGTTTTTAATAGGAATGAATGTTGTATTTTGTCAAAAGCCTTTTCTGCCTCTCTGGAGATACGTGATTTTTGTTGGTTCTGTTACTGACATGGTCAGTTATGCTGATAGTTTTCCTAATATTAAACCAGCCCTGCATTTCTGATATAAATCTCACCTGGTCATAGTGTATGATCTTTGTGATATATTGCTAAAATCTCCTTGCTAGTATTTTATTTAAAACTTTTGCATTAATGTTCATTAGGGAAATTGGTCTATAGTTTTCTTTCTGTTTTTGCTCTTTCTGGTTTAGGTATCAGCACCATGTTTGTATAGTAAAAGGAATTTGGTAGTACTCCTTCTTTGCCTATTTTCAAGTAGTTTATATAGTATTGGAATTAATTGTTTTTTAAATGTTTGGTAGAATTTACTTGTGAAACCATCTGGTCTCGGGGATTTTCCAGGTCAATTTTTCCAATGAGAGATTTCACATTTTATTCTACTTTTTTGTTTTTTTTAAATTTTGTTTGTTTCTTAATGTCTCATGAAGTCATTAGCTTCCACTTGCCCAATTCTGATTTTTAAGGAATTATTTTCTTCAGTGAGCTTTTGTGCTTCTTTTTTCATTTAGCCAATTCTGCCTTTTCGGGCGTTCTTCTCTTTGGTGAATTTTTGTGTGTCTTTTACCAAGCTGTTGACTCTTTTTTCATGATTTTCTTGCATCATTCATTTCTTTTCCGAAATTTTCCTCTACCTCTCTTGATTGATTTTTAAAATTCTTTTTTTGAATTCTTCTAGGAATTCTTTTTTTTTTTTTTTTTGGCCTTTGACCTATTCTTAGTTTTCTTTTAGGCTTTGCATGTAGCTGCTTTGATTTCATTGTCTTCTTCAGGGTTTGTATCTTGATCCTCTATGGTTAGGTTTTTTTTAATTGTCGTTTGCTCATTTTCTCGGCCTATTTCTTGACTTTTAATGTTATGTTAAAATTGGGCTGTCCTCCCGGGGTGCAGGGGGTATTGCCCCAAGTTTTAGGTTTTTTGTGCTGCTGTTTTCGGAGCTAGTTCTGGTTTTCATGCTGCTGTTTTCAGTTCTTTCAAGGTGGTATTATCCAAGGAGATGTGTGGTCACTGTGGTTTGGTCTGTGAGTGACCATAAGCACTCTTTTCCATCCTGGAACTGTGACCAGTATTCCCCTCCCCTGGGCCACAAGTGCTAGTGCTCCTTCTCACCCTGGGACAGTGACCTGGAGCCGCATAAGGGCAATGCAGTGCACCCAGTGCCAACAAAGTGACCCCTGTAATCTCCTTCTGACCAGTTGTCTGACCCCCTTACCATCTATGGGATGAGGGCTTTGGAAGCCACTCTGCTGATGCACATGCTTCCAAGATCTGCTGCTGGTGTTGCCTGCACTGAATTGGGCTCCATTCTCACCCCAACCTTTTAAGTTTCTTTGGGCTGGAAAATTGTTTTACCCTGACCTTTTGTTGGTTCTGTCACTACGGAATTCGTTTTGAGGCCTTATTTTAAAGTTGTTTGGAGGGGAATTTGGGAAAGTTCAGGTGAGTCCCTGCTTTTACTCTGCCATCTTGACTCTGCCCTCCTGCAAATGGGCTGTCCTCAGTTTTTAAAGTAAATTATGAGGTCCAAAGGTTAAGAGGGGAAATGAAAGGGCAGTGTTAGGTGGCCTGGCATAAGAGGAGATGCCAAGGAGAGTGGTAGTCAGTCGGGGAGGAGTAGATAGACTGGCATGCAGCAGCCTCAAAACTAATTTTCCCAAGCCACAGTCTGACAGTGAATGTCCTTGCTTAAATTTTTAGTGATTCCCTTTAGAGTACGTTAAAACTTCTCATCCTGATATTTAAAGCTTTTTGCAGTTTGGCCCAGACTCGCCTTTCTTTTTCTTTTTCTTAATACTAACTTACCTTTCCAAATTTACTATACATTGCTTACCTTTGCACACACTTAGATTTCAGCCAAACTGGCCTCCTAGATTGTGACCTCTTAGAATCATTTGCTTTCTTCAATTCACAGTTTAGATTCTGCTTTCTGAGTGAATTTTTTTGAATACCCTAGTTATTATTGCTTTCTCTTTACTCGAATTACCTTGGGTTCCAACCTTCCTAGTTTTCTTACACTTGACTTGCCTTCACATACTCTGCAACCCAGCAACAATGACCTTCTTACTCAAACATGATGCTCCCTCTGTCCATCTCTGTCCTTTGTCTTCTCCCTCTTCTTCTGTTTGCTGGCTTCCTTCAAGACTTGGCTTAAATCAGGCTTTTTGCAAGAGGCCATCCCCTTCCTCCTGGGATTACCTCTTTTCCTCATCTACCCTCCCATTGACCCTGAATGTTATACTCTTGTGGGTTTTCCCCATTAGAATCTGAGCTTTTTGAGGGCAGGGATCTTACTTTTGTCTTGTTTGGGAATCCTACTGCTTAGCACAGTGCTTGGCATGTAGTAAGCCCTTAATAATTATTTGCTGATTGATTGGATGTTTGTGTTATTTTTGTACATACTGGATCTTTCCCGTGGAATATAAACTAGAGCTATTGCATTTTTGTCTCTTTATCTCTAGTACATCGTCTTGCACACATTAGTGGGTTCCTTTAATATGTTTACCGAATTTCAGACCAAACAAATGAAACATGGCTACTAATGAATCATTTTTCTTTTCCCTTTGGCACATTTAGTGTTTTAGGAGAAATATTTATAAATTCTAGAAAAATCGTTGTTTTCAATCTTGAATTTATCCCTTGTTTGAATATTAGTCATTGGAAAGGTGCACTCCCCACTCACCTTTTTTTCAGAATGTCTAGGTTCCTGAGGCAGTCTCGGCACAGGTGCCACTGCCACGGGAGGCTGATTCTGAGCCCCACCTTCCCATCCTGCTGTTAATGCTCTCTCTCAAAAATCACTTTGAAGGGGGGAAGATAATACATAAAAGGAAGCTGAATGGGGAGGGGTCATCATGGCAAAGGCCATAGCGTCAGAAGCATAGTTGGAAGGGGAATGAAGAATGGACATCACCCACAAAATGGAGGTCCTCCAAGCAGTTCTTTGCCTGTGATTTTTTTCTTCTCATCTCTGCAATTGTTTGCTAATGTAACACTAAAAGTTAAAGGGTTCTGTCTCAATTTTTTTTTTCTTCAAGTATTCATTGTTCTCAGCACTGTGTAGAGCTTTATAAACAGTTGTTTAAATCATATGTATTAACTTTTAAGTATGTATTTTGTATATATACATATTCATTTATTTTTATGTTTTATTAGTTTTCATGTATTGACTGTTTTTAAATGGCTAATTGCATCTATGTTATAGGGATGTTCATATTTATGATCTGCGACACCTCAGATCTAAAGGAATGAAACCTTTGATTTCTCTCACTGAACACATGAAGAGCCTTGCTTCTGCATATTTCTCACCTGTTACTGGCAACAGAATAGTGACTACATGTGCTGATGATAATTTGAGGTAAGGCGGGGATGCGTTTTACCTATTAATACTATAATAAATGTTCTGAAGATGTTGTTGGGACCATGTTACCAGACTAGAAGTATTGATGACTCAGACATTGGGGCATTAGTTGAACTATTGGTCTGTAGCTGCTCTAAGGAGGCCACTATGAACTAGGTCTAGTCTAGAAGTCTGGGACCTGGGGAAGGAGGGATTAAATATGGACCTCACCCAAAAGGTTGGTTGTTCTGAAAAGATTCTCTCTATACTGCTACTTTGCATTTAATGAATGAGATTCAGTGGGGATAGATGGAAAGGACAGTTATTTTAGTATTGAAGGATTCAGTCAGGTACCAAGGTATCTGTGGAACTGTAAAATAGAGAGCTGGACCTGGAGGCAGGAAGACTTGAGTTCAAATTCTGCCTCAAACACTTAGTTACCCTGTGCAAATCACTTAACTTCACTCAGCCTCAGTTTCCTCATATGCAAAATGGGGGTAATAGTAGCATCTACTTCCCAGAGTTGTTGTGAGGATAAAATGAGATTTGTAAAGTGCTATATAATCATCATTATCATTGTTGTTTTTATTGTTAAGATTGCTAATACTTTGGGTGGGGGGAATAGGGTTTATCCTTGCCAGTGTAGTTCTGGAATCAACTCCCCTCCCTCTGCCCCCCCAGCCTCTGTGAAGTCTCAAACCCTTATTTAACTTCCAGGTGAGAAGAGGTGAGTAAATATGAGCTTCTCGAGTAGCTTAGCTTTGATTCCCTTCTGTAGCCACTTCTTACAAATGTAATTTTTGAAACATTAATTTGACAGTGAAAAATGGTGGAAAATTATGATTGGTATCACCTTATAAGGTGGAAAGTGTGTTAGAGAGGAAAACAAGTTTGTGGAAAATTTGGCATGATATCCACCTAAGCCAGATCGTCCCAGGAGATAACTGTTCAATTGTCAGTTATCAGTACTGCAGTATTTTAGTGGATCTGTGATCTTGTTGGTGTGGGCAGTCATTCCAGCCATGCGGATTGCCACCCATTCTTGCCTGATCATCCTATATGATTTCTCATCCTTTCTCTCCTATATATCACTAGAGGGGATTGATTTGATATGCTGGGGGCCTTTTGACATCACAAGTATGCCAGTGAAGTATGTGGGCTATGTCTTGATTGTATCCATTGTCGACCAGTCTGGTTCTTTTTTTTTCCCCCAATCATTTTTCTTTGATGACATCTTTTATACCCCTTCTTCACAATTCCTTGTTTGTGATATGTTGTAGGCTGGTCATGCTCACTGTGCCTCACATTGTCCTTTGGGTAATCCTTAACTTAATTGTCTTAGAGAGTGGTATTCTCTGACTCTTAGCCATACATCATCATTTGAAGAATATTGTTATTAAAAAGATGGGTCTTTAAGGGAATTCAAATCTGGCCTCAGACAGTTAGTAGCTGTGTGACCTTGGGCAAGAAGAAAAACAGACTATAGATTTCCTTGGCTGAAACAAAAGTGAAAATGTACCAGTGTGCTAGTGTTAAAGCACCATAGTGTGGTATGGGAATAGCATTAGGGCAGTGGTTCTCAACCTTTTCTGTCTCAGGATCTCCTTACACACATGCTAAAAAATCATTGAGGAATCCCTGAAGAGCTTTTGTTTATGTGGGTTTATAGCTACTGATATTTTACATATTAGAAAGTAAAACATCTTAGCATGATTTATGAAAATGGTTTTGACGCCATGGACCCCTTGAAAGGGTCCGGCGTGGGGGCAGGAAGAGTGTCCCCTGACTACACTTAGAAAGTACTGCATTAGAGAATCCTTGAAACAAGTCTTTGTTAAGAGGGGTCTTTCACCCATTGTGTGAGTCACCTAACTGTGAGCCCCAGGGTAATAATGCTTTTGGTACAGGCTTGTGCGACAGATGAGAAAGGCTTTATAAACTTGATAAACTATGAAGTGCTAGCACAATGTGAATATGATTTGCCCATTTTTGAGGCATTTAAGATTATAATGAATGTAAGAATTAGAATAGAATTCAAAAGTAGTTAAGGGAAAAAGTCTTAAAGAGAACTTTTTTTCTCATTCAAATAGTATTCAGTCATTTCCTAAGCACTTATATGACTACTATGTTCCTTTTTCCTTAATTCTAAGTCCTTGTGTGGAGATTCTAGAGTCAGGTGTTTTCATCAGTTATTGAGTGATTGTGTCAGTTACTGTTTATTACATCTCTGAGCTTGCTTATATTAAAATGGGGAAAATATTAGCACTGCCTATCTCAGGGTTGTTGTCAGGGTTAAATTAGATGTAAGTAAATGCTATATAATATATAAACTTATTATTTTATACAAAATGCTAGCTGCTTGTTATTATAATACATCTAAAAATAAATGATAAGGAACATGGATTGGTTGATTGTTTATTTTTAAATTGCAGGGTCTTTGACACTAGCAGTATATCTTCCAAGATTCCTTTGCTGACCAGAGTCAGGTAAGTTATAGTATGTCAGGTAATAAATGCCATTGCAGAATTGTTAAAAGTACACACATTTATCATCTGATTATTCAAGTTTTAAAAGACATTATTATATAACAGTTGAGACTTAGTGTCTTCGGTATGCTATAGAGACTATAGCATACTGAAGACAGTCTCAACTGTTATATAATAATATAGTATAGGCTATCTAGATATGGTCCTTGATCTTGGCTTGCTGGTACCCTCCCCCAGTTAATTTGTATTTAACTTGTATGCTTTTTGTGTGTGTGTGTGTGTGTGTGTGTGTGT